TATGTGAAAATTCCGAAAGGTAAAATTTCGGTAAAAAGTATACATGCGTACAGATATGTATGTACTATTTGCGATTTGCTGTGTGTAAAATGTCTGTGAACGCTGAGCTAATAGTATACATCAAAGGAAGGAATCAAATGCAGATCCAATTGTGTTGTCGTCATTTGGAATAGAAAAATAAGGCGAAATAAGCTTAATTAGTGGCTGCCCATTAAAATTTTAGCGTTCTACGCCTCCCGGAACATCAGTCCAATTACAGCAGAGGAGAGCTGCGTCCGCGGGAGTAGAGAGGGACTACGGCTTTGTTTGTGCGTCCTCCGAGCGGGGCTCAGGAGCACAGGAGCGCAGGCATTTACTGTATAAGGCTTTGTACGGGTCTCCCCCTCGTGCCCGTGCGAGGGGCGCCGCCCAGGCCGTACCTGCACCCTGGGCGAGATGGCCGCGCCCCTGACGCGGTCGCCGGAGGGGCCCTTCGGCAGCTGCGACGCGATCAGGATGCGGGCGATGAGCGAGTACAGGACGCAGGACAGCAGCAGCGGCACCACGTAGAACACCACGATGTCCGTGAAGTAGTAGTAGAGGTACTGGTCGCGCGACAGCTTGAAGGTGCACTCCTGCGTCGGGTAGTCGACGGCGTAGCGCAGGGGCACCACCTGCGTCAGGAAGAGCCAGGGCGCGCAGTAGCACACGGCGAAGAGCCAGACGAGCAGCGTGATCTTCTTGGCGCGCTCCACCGTGCACACCGTCTGCGCCTTCATCGGGTGGCAGATGGCGATGTAGCGCTCCACCGTGAACGCCGTCAGGCTGAGCGAGCTGGCGTTGATGCCCAGGTTCTGCAGGAAGATCATGATGGCGCAGCCGCCGCGCCCCCAGATCCAGTGGTTGCCGATCAGGAAGTAGCTGACGATCTCCTGCGGCACGGCGGCCACCAGCACGGCGCAGTCGGCCACGGCCAGGCTCACCAGGTAGCAGTTGGTGGGCGTGGCCATGTTGCGGTTGCGGGCCACCACCACCACCACCATGGCGTTGCCCACCACGCCGATCACCAGGATCACGCCCTGGAACAGCGTGCCCACCACGCGGTACAGCAGCGAGTAGTACTCGGGCGCCTGGAAGCAGTACAGCAGGTACAGGTCCCTGGCGCAGCGGCACAGCGCGTCCGCCTCCGAGCACGTGAGGCCGCCCAGGCGCTCGTGGAACGAGCAGTTCATGAGGCTCGCCTCCGCCTCCGCCGTCAGGTTGTAGGGCGCGTCCCACGCCAGCTCGCTGGGCGGGAAGCTGCAGTTCAGCTCCACGGAAGTCATCGCGCACTCGTGCGAACACTTAGTCTCTCGCTTCGGGAACCCGGAGAAAGAGCAACGAACCGAACAGAAATCTCAGTCATTCATTTCCGCCAGAGAGTCCTTTCCACGCTGTCCCTTGGCTTCCTCACACCAAGTCAGCTTCCACGTAGCATTGCACTCGTCCTTCGAAAGCAAAACCAAGCACCTTGACCCATAAACGCATCTTTTCCGAACGACAAAAAAATGTCTACAATCCAGGCGACGAGACGAAGACGCGCCAGACGGGGATCGAGCGCGCGGAGCGAACGCAAAGCGAGCGCTGGCGGACGGCGGCCTGTGGATGCAGCGGCGGGAAGGAGGCGACTGAGGGAACGGCGCTCGGCCCTGCGACTCCATCACGCCCCCCCCCAGCCTCCCCCATACGACCCTGCCCCTGCCCCCTCTGTCGCTGCTTCTGTCCTCTCTTGTTCTTGGTCTGCGCAAACATTCTTTTGAAATTCTATCCTACGTAATGCAGCGATGGCAATAACACCAAGAATTGGTCTTACTTACGCATACACACCCACTGAAACAATAGACACAGTCTCTCTCTCTCTCTCTCTCTCTCTCTCTCTCTCTCTCTCTCTCTCTCTCTCTCTCTCTCTCTCTCTCTCTCTCTCTCTCTCTCTCTCTCTCTCTCTCTCTCTCTCTCAAACACCTCACAAACACACACGCACAAGCACACAAACATCATTAAGAATATTACATTAATAACATTATTTCCGGGGTAAGTGCCATATCATATTACACAATATCAATATCACTGAATCATTGTGTAGTATGATGAAAATTCTTCATCCAGTAAACATTAATAAAAAATTGATTAGATATAGCTTATAATTATTATCAATGTCATCATTGTGATTATTGTCATTATTATTGTTATTCTTATCATTATTCATTATTATCATCTTCATTATAATTAACATTAATGATATTATCATTATCATTATTACTTTTCACTACATTATAATACAAATAATGATGATGATAATAATAATTATTATTATCATTATTATTATCGGTATTATTATTACTGCTATTCTTATCATTATCATTATCATCATCATCATCATCATCAATGTCATTATTATTTTTGTATTATCATTATCATCATTGTTATCATTATTGTTATTATTATCGTTATTGATATTGTTGTTATCATTATCATTATCATA